TATATTGAAAGCTACTTTGTGGAAGGATTTCATGCTAGCTTTTGGTGAGTTTTGACTATGCATGTATACTAGGAGTATTTAGGAGGTTATTTGGGTTTTGGGTGTTGGCTGGTTGGGGAGTTTTGCGGTTTAGTTATTTCTTCCTTTTTGGGGCTGAGAGGGAATTTTGGTTTGTTTTAGTTGGAGTAGTGTCTATTGTTTCCTCAGTTGTGGAGAAACTTTCATCATCGGTTAGATTAGGTTTAGCTGTTTGAGTTTCCATAGGACGAAAACACATTAAATGGCCTGGCCCGTGTGCGAAATACGCATCAGTCGGAATGCGCACGTTGAATCTCAAAGGTAAGTAAGTAAGTAAGTAAATAGTTGAGGGTATTGCCTAAAAGTCGGGCCAGCCGGGCCAAGACGGACCAAAGTGTTATTGGCTAATTTCTTCATTATCGGTGATCATACCTACATATCATTGATGCAACATAGACACATGAGATTTATGAACAAGCACCAACGAAAAATGAGATGTAAGCGTCGCTGATCTAGGTAACATGTAAAAGATCAATCGTTAAACAAAAATAAGATTTGAAACGTATCAAATACTTCCAGCTATCCTGATACAAATTTCCATCTGTCGGCGTGGCGTTTATATTTATAGGAACGTACTATTGCCAAGTAAATACCACTTTATAATGTCACTGTTGATCGTATTTAAAGCAGACACGTTTGTTATAGTAGACCTCTTCTCCCCATACTCTCAACTGTCTCACAAGTGTTCGGTCCGACTTGGCCCGGGCTGTCAAGATCAACTTAAACCTCACAGATGTAACATGAAATGGACTCACACCTATAGACTAGTATTATATCTACCTTAATACCACTTTATAGTGTCTCAGATCGCGGTATTTAAAAAAATAAGGTGCTCAAAGTGAAGCGCTTTTCCCTCTACATTATCAACAGTCTCTATCAGAAGTGTTTGTGTTCTGTCCGACTTAGCCCGGGCTGTCAAAATCAACTTTAAACACACAGATGTATCATCAAATGTGTTTACATCTATAGACAAGCAAATCACTTCTGATAGAGACGATGTTTAGTTTATATGCTAGTCGTTAGGTACAAAGATTGTTTAGTAACTTTAGAAGTTATTAACACGTGTCGTATCAGCCCTATGACATTCGCGATTGTCCACTTCCAGAAAACATCCTGTGTTGGTTTAACATGAATTAGTAAAGGTTCATTAGGGATGCCCAACACGTTAATTAATGAAAGACGAGTAGTCAAAACACTGTCATTTCCTGCCCAGGATATCACACCCCTACACACTAACGTCGGTGAGAAACATTCTCCAACTCCAAACAGGACACACCAACCTAAATAACCACCTAAAAAAAATTAAAAAAAACACTACAGGTAACTGACCACACTGCAAACAACCAGAAACCCCAGAACACGCACTCATCCACTGCACACACTACCTAACACATCGAACCGCATTACAAACCACCCAAGGCTCTAACTCTAGAAGCAATACTAAACCCACAAAATAAACTAGAAAACTTCAAGGCCTTAGGCGTATTCTTAATAAAAACGGAACTAATAAAACGCATCTAAAAACACAATAACCTACCAAATCAAAATCACATAAACAAACAAACATCCACCATACCCAGCTCCCTTAGTTCTCCTCCCCAATCCCATCGGCATCTATTCCAAATCTCAAAATTCCCAAATTCTATATAAGCAACCCCTAAAACGCCCCTCTTGGGTTGCCCAGACCACCTTCGCCCCTTTCGGAAACACATTAAATGGCCTGGCCGGGCCCGTGTGCGAAATACGCATCAGTCGGAAAGCGCAGGTTAAATCTCCAAAGTAAGTAAGTAAGTAAGTAAGTAACGTCGGTGAGAAACATTCTCACCAAAGAAAACAGTCAAGACTATAGATTCCCGTCGTCTAACTACACATCCTGTGATGAATTAAAGGTTGAAGAATTTTAAACTGAACTGTCCTAAGTTTATATCTAAAATTTTGGAATTGGATACAGTGATAAAGTCTTATATACTCATAAATATTGGTTTTATGTTTTAACGGAGATATGATATTTTCTTATGAAATATCGCGTATTAGTGTAATATGCATGCTTAACCATTCATTGTACCGTTCTAAACCATGTAATATCAGTCAATCGGGTGGGAAAACAGGCCTATCCTCGCTCTATAAAGGACTATGTCAATCATTTTGCAAGTTGAAATGACCCCTGATACTTTATGAATACTTTATGACAGTTTATGGAGTCAAAATCAATGCTGATTTTTCATAAACTTAATGCTTCGTACTATAGGCATGGTGCCTCTTCAGTGCTGAATAAAGATTGAAAATACATCAGTCAGTCAAAGATGAAGGAGTTCTTGAGAATTAGTTCATGTTTTGTTCTTAGACTTACATTTCAACCATCGATTGTGTTCACATGTAGACTCAAACTGGTATATTAAAAAACTGTATACAGACAACAAAAACTGTATTAGAAACAACAAACTCTGTATTTATGGATAGCACTTTCATAAGCATGATAGCATATTTTGGAAAACAAATTCAAGGTCAATTGCTTCAATACATCATGTTCATTGGACATAATTTCTAGTTTAAATATGTCAGTGTTAGGTTTGTATTTACAGTACAACTTTCGGTTACACAACTATAGCGTGATGATCTTTGACTTCGGCGGGCGTCCACGCGTCACAGTCTTTGGAAAAGGACTGACGTCGTGTGCGATCAGGCACTGCACTAGGTGGGGTCTCATCTTTGCAATGTCGTATCTGCAGGAGTGCAAACTGTTACCTAGGGAAAGTTCAACTGCATTAGCAATGGCAAAGATGCCACAGTCTGAACCATTTGTCTGCAACTGGAAGGAAGCAGTTCAACTGTAAGGTTACCACTACTGTCACGTTTATTTTGGAAGATCTGCTTCAACTGTTTATTGATGTGGTCGCTAACAGCTCTCTTCGTGCTGTCAGCATACATCACGCCACGGTCGTTGCTTGATACCGTCACCCAGTGGTCACTGTCATGGAGGATCTGCACGGTGTCGCGATGGATGGGCTTAAATTCTGTCTGTGAGAGAAGAGACGACTGGTTCATTAGCCTGGTGCTGGATGTCACAAGTTTAGATGCAACGTCAATGACTCGGTCATTTACCCACTGCCCGGACTCAATGTCATCTCTGTCTGACAATCGTAAGTTTAAGTCCTTCACCCAGAACGTATCTGCAGAGTCCTCCTTAGCTGTAACGTCTGTAGCAGCGTCATCAGTTGTAACGGGGACTGTGTCGCCTTCGGCAGGGGCATCTGTGACGAGCGGATCATGCCATATCTTAAGGTGAGTGGCGTTGTAGCGTGACTTGAGGACTTTCTCGCCGCTTCTAAGTAGATACACCCCCTTGCCAAGGGACTCGTGAATGACGTACGGGCCGAAGTACCGGGGAGCGAGCTTGTCTCCCATCCTTGTGTCTCGTCTCCTGTTGATGATGGTGAATCTTTGCCCGACCTGTAACACAAAGAAACTTTCAGCACCACTGATTTCTAATAACCTAATATCATAAGTATATATCTGCATTCAAAAAGAATATATTTCTTAAGAAAGTAATTATTCTAAAATAACGCAGACCCATACTTGTTTTGTTAATTTAACAGTTTGTAACCATTAGTTTTACACACGCTAGGCTTTCTCCCAAATTGCTACTGCTACTAACAGATGATTGTTTTGAAATAGAGCTTAAAAATCCTACCTGGAAAACGGGCGAGCTGTGTTTAAGATCGTATCTCCTCTTCTGTTTTGACTGTGCCTTCTCGATGTTGTCTCTAGCTTTTGAGCATACTTTTTGTATAGCATTTAAAATGCCTGGGTTGTTTGCATTAAAATCAAAACAAAGGAATCTGTAATTAAAATGTGTAAGGTGAAAAAGCTTTTACATAAAAGAGCAAAATACATGGGGGAGAGTAAATATATAATTCTATATAACTTTTCTTGAATGGAGCACATTTGAAAAAAAAGATAATCCAAGAATATTCGATATTACCGTGTATAAAGAATTTATATCAGTCATATATTTCTAACTTAGATCACCCGTATGTAGCCCAGGTAAAGCATGCACATCGGGGAACATTGTAATGTTGGTACAGTTTATCGTGTCTTCTTGCTTTAGTATTACACATTGGCTTTTCATATTCCTCAAGGTTTGAATGTTTATTTGTTTAATAAAAAAATGTATTTTTTATTTATTTTTTCACTCCTTTATTTGTTCTGGGTTATATATTTATCTAAATATACATTTAGTTACTTGTGTGTGTGTGGTTGTTTCCTTTTATTTGTTGATTTTGATTTTGATTGATTTTGCGGGGTATTTTTCTTTCTTTTCTTTGGGGGGGGGGGGCACTTTTCCTTTCGTTTTCATAATATAATTTTTTTAAGGTGTATATAACGTATGAATCCCTTCTCAGATTACTTTATCTCATTTCTATATGACGTGCTATTTTACTTCTCTGTGTTTTTCTTCTTTTCTCTTCAGTATGAGGTTATACTGTATCATTTTTACTATTTTGATGGTTGTGGTCATCAGTTATGCAAATCAGTTTCGGTGTGTCTTTTTAACAAGGTGTTCTTCATTAAGATTCACGGCCAGCCCGATTGTAACAATTACATGTACACTTTGCTTTGACGATGCCGGTTGATGTTATTCAATACAGGCTGGGGTGGGTTTATTTTAAAATCTATTCTACATGCTTATCATTTCGGGAAGTTGATACACATTTCTCTATATTTTGGGTTACTTTGCTTATCTAATTTCCGATTATCATTCTTAGTTTTACTTTTTCTCTTTTGCTGCGGTGATATCCATCCGAATCCAGGACCTTTGCATAGTCCAGATTTAAAGATTATATATCTAAACGTACGCAGTCTTAAAGACAAAGTAGATTTTATCAGTGCTGAATTAGATAGTTATGATGTTGTATGTTTAACAGAAACCTGCTTGCACCATGATATTCTAGCCACTGATATTACACTGATACCATTTTCAAATCGTAGCCTGTATTAAGGAATATATTTTAGATCTTAAATCAGAGTATAACGGACAGCCTGAGCTGGAGGCGCGCGTGGATATGTTGACAGTTTTTACGTAGTTAGTGGTAAAACCGAATGTTTGCGAGGATTAATAAGATTTCTGAATTCTGTTACAACAGTAACCGTACATGTATTTGTTACATTAAGTCATTTCATTCAAATTTGCTTGGTATGATTATGTCTTATAATTATTTTAGGATGGAAGGTACAGTTACCAAATAAAATATGCTGAAATATCAATTCGTTATGACCATATTTCATAATCTATTTTTTAAAGTAACCCTCCTTACATTAAAGATAACTATTTAAAGAATATAGTACTGAAAGACATTGCAACAAACCGAATAATCAGGGGGGAGACTTTATACTGAGGGGGGCGCGAAACATATCCGCCCTGGGGAGATTTTATTTCAGAACAGATTTTTCCGGTATAAACTCTCCGGGGGGAGAATTTGTACGGGGGAGAGTTTATACCGGGACACCGGCCCCTATCCCTGCTGAACCACGCCCGGTACAGAAGGCCAGGCCGCCCAAAGTGAAGAAGGCTCCACCAGTCGCCGCCATGGAGATCAAGTATACACACAGATGTATCATCAAATGTGTTAATATCTGTAGCTTAGTATTGTATCTACCTATAAAACACTTTATAATGTCACAGTACATCGTATTTAAAGAAAACAAGGTGCTCAAAGTGAAGCCCTTTCCCCTCTAGATTCTCAACATAGTCTCTATCAAAAGTCTTTGGCTTGTGGTAGGTCCGACTTGGCCCGGGCTGTCAAAATCAACTTTAAACACACAGCTGTATCATCAATGTAGAGGGAAAAGGGCTTCATTTTGAGCACCAAGTTTTCTTTACATACCGCGATCTGAGACACTATAAAGTGGTTTACAGGTAGATATTATATCATTTTGTCTTGGAACATCTATAAGATGTACAGCTACATGTATTTACCAAAAGAAAGAATCTACGTTTTTACTTCATTAAATAAACATTCACTCATTGAACATCTCCAACAGTTTTGTCCATGTTGAGATCCACTGAAATGGGTAGTTCACTTGTTACATTTATATAGAACAGAACGATATTTGTGATTAAATATGATTGTGGATACATTTACCTTGGCTATATTTTAAAATTCAACAATAGCTTGCGTGTGGTTTCTTTGGAAGCATAAAATCAACTATTGTTTGTAAAAACCATTTGTGTGTCTTAATATATATGTTTTTTAAAGGAAGAGGTGTTTGAATAAATAATTATTTGTGTGTTCACAAACCCCTATCATGTAATTATATTTTCCTGAATTACATGTTGTTTGTATGTAAAATAAATGTCCCTGTTCACCTATGTAGAAAATCGATAAGCGAAATAAAACTGAGTAACAGACTGTGTATTATAGATCCATAGAAATACGATTGCATAGGCGATCAATTCAGAATACAACAGGTGTAAGGTGTGGCTAATTGACATGTATCTCGATGACTAATTGAAATGTATTTCGCAGGTAATAATCAATAAACATTGTGACAGAAAAACAAGTGACGGATTGAACTGAATTTTAGTTTTGCGAAAAAGGTCCGTGGTTTATGTGGATGAAACTAAGTTTGATAATGTTGCAAATGATCACTTTATTTGACTTCATTACGGATTCCTCAACCTGTATCGAGGAGAATTGTTTACAGTTAAGTAAAATTCTAATTAAGATTTCTTAAAGCTGTCACGGTGGCAAATTCAAACTTCGATATCATGGTACACAGTTCTATTGTAAGGTCAGATTGGGAGTTCGAATTGGCGCTATGTATTTATATCTCGAATTTGAAATTAGCGGTTAAATTTATATGTTTTGTTTGCTTGTTTGTTTTTTTGTTTAACGCCACACTCAGCAATATGCCAGCTATATGACGGAGGTCATGCAAATAATCAAGTCTGGACCTGACAATCCAGTGATTGACATCACGAGCATCAATCCAAACAATTGGGATAAGATGATATGCATCCAATCAACCAAGTCAGCGAGCCTGACAACCAACCCGATCCCGTTAGTCGCATCTAACGACAACCATAGTCACCTTTTAATACAAGCATTGGTTGCTGAAGATCTGTTCTAACCCTGATCTTCACAGGTCCAAATCTATATGTATTTTTATGGTGAGGCGGTCGTGATCGGAGAATAGGTTCGAGAGTTCGGTACACACATTCGTGGTCAATATCTCTCATGTTGTGGATGATAGGGATTTTGTCATGTTTTGAAGAAATGTCATCACTGGCATGCATTTGATAGTACACAAAACGTAAGCTTTACCTCGAACATGCTAGTTCCGGTCACAAAATATATGCTTTATCTTTTACTGATTTTTGTATTAATAACATTACAACGTTTCTCAAGGTTACAGACTCCAAGGATTCATTAAAGTGCATTTTAAGCACCTAAAATTGACAACTAACACCCTGATCGCAAAACTCCTAACGATTTTTACGAAAAATAGATACGAAAACTTTTGCTGAACCCCGAGATTTGAATGACTGACAAATCCGTACTTTCTTGTGTTCTCATACATAAAACAGCAGTGTAAACATGATCTAACATGGCTTAATGTGGAATGTGTCTAGGATTGTAAACTGTCCATATTATTCCAAATTGTATGCATACACATGTGTCATGTCTTTATTTGGTTTTGTGTCTCTACCTGCAAACATATGTGGCAAGATACACCTTCCAGGGTAGTGGACGATGTGGACACTGACGAAAATTTCTACAACATGTCCAAACATTCCCAAACAGACAGAATCATATGCTTTCTGAAAGTCAATCCAGCACATCGTTGTTGTCGTTGTCGTTTTTGTCGTCTACGTCATCATTATCCTTCAAGGATAGTTGACGGTATGGACACTGGAATATTTCGAATATATGGAAATGTGTGCATTTTAATTAATATAAACACTATTTTAAGCGTCAGGAAACGGGATTTTTCTTGTCATGAATGGCGAGTATAACAACTTGGGAAGCTAGCTTGACATTTCGTTAGTACGGTCCGCATACTGTCTTTGCCTTGTTTCTCCTGAATCTCATTAGTTTCAAAAGAAACAGATAAATCGGTCATACAATGCTTTCATTGGATTTATCAAAAAGGACCATATCAGGTTTGTTCGCTTGGATACGTCTGACTCTGTATGTGGGCGTATTCCAAAGAATTTTATATGTAATTATCATTTCCCACGACGCCCTCTGCATATTCTGGGTCGTACCATTGATGGTCTCGGAGTCAAAACCACACATTACGGTAACAAGAGGATCGAACCATGCCAAAGATACTGTGTTTGTGTCAAGCTGGACATCAACTTTGACACAAAATCATACATTGACGTTTTCGAGTAGCAAGTGACTGGTTCTAGGTCGATTTGATATGGCACTTCGCTTGATTGACACTCATTTCTGTACCGTCCAGCACCATCAACAAAATAAACATTAACATTGATATTCAGTACTGCATCAATGGGTCGTTTAGGAAAATCCATTGAATGACTTGTTTTCAGTCTTGACATGCTTCACAAGAGGATCTTCAGATAAATAAATATGTGCAATAGTGCACGATTAAATTCAATCATGAAAGGCCTCCTTGTTAATCACAACACAGACGTTAAAATATGGTGATCATCCTCATCATAAACAACTATCATCATCATTATCATTATGATGTTTATGTTCCCGTCAGAGTACATCGTATTTAAAGAAAACAAGGTATAGATATAAACACATTTGATGATACAACCGTGAGTTTAAAGTTGATTTTGACAGCCAGGGCCAAGTCGGACCCAACACAAGCCAAACACTTTTGATAGAGACTATGTTGAGAATGTAGAGGGAAAAGGGCTTCACTTTGAGCACCTTGTTTTCTTTAAATACAGCGAACCGAGACACTTTAAAGTGGTATATAGGTTAATATTATACTCGTTTATAGATGTGAATACATTTGAATATACATCTGTGAGGTTTAAGTTGATTTTGACAGCCCGGGCCAAGTCGGACCCAACACTTCTGACAGAGATTTTCTTAAGAAAATACAGGAAAAGTGTTTGACTTTAACGGACCAGTTTTCTTTAAATACGATGTACTGAAACATTAAAAAGGGGTATATAGGTAGATAAAATACTAATCTATAGATATAAAACACATTTGATGATACATCTATGTGTTTAAAGTTTATTTTGACAGCCCGGACCAAGTCGGACCCAACACAAGCCAAACACTTTTGATAGAGACTATGTTGAGAATGTAGAGGGAAAAGGGCTTCACTTTGAGCACCTTGTTTTCTTTAAATACAGCGAACCGAGACACTTTAAAGTGGTATAAAGGTTAATATCATACTCGTTTATAGATGTGAATACATTTGAATATACATCTGTGAGGTTTCAGTTGATTTTGACAGCCCGGGCCAAGTCGGACCCAACACTTCTGACAGAGATTTTCTTAAGAAAATACAGGAAAAGTGTTTGACTTTAACGGACCAGTTTTCTTTACATACGATGTACTGAAACATTATAAAGTGGTATATAGGTAGATAAAATACTAATCTATAGATGTAAACACATTTGATGATACATCTATGTGTTTAAAGTAGATTTTGACAGCCCGGACCAAGTAGGACCTAACACAAGCCAAACACTTCTGATAGAGACTATGTCTAGGATGTACAGGGAAAAGGGCTTCACTTTGAGCACCTTTTTTTCTTTAAGGACAGCCATCTGAGACACTATAAAGTGGTATTTAGGTGGATATAATACTAATCTATAGATGTGAATCCATTTGATGATATATCTGTAAGGTTTAAGTTGATTTTGACAGCCCGGGCCAAGTCGGACCGAACACTTTTAACAGGGATTTTCTTAATAAAATACAGTAAAAGTGCTTGACTTTAACGGTCCAGTTGTCTTTGAATGCGATA